GGGAAAGAATGAAAACAGCAGGGAAGCCTTGAACACGGCTAAAAACTTGAGAACATACAGACAAAAAAATAAGTTTGTTAAGAAAAACCACTTCATGTATTTACAAAGGTGTAGAGAATAAAAATGATTCAAATGACCAGAGGAAAATGCTGACTTCAGACAGATGAATTTAAGAGTAAAATCCAATGTTAATAGTTCTTAAACAGTGCAATAGAAGCCACGACACAAATAGGCTGAAAAGTTAGGCTGGAGAATATATTACAAATTACCTGCAGTAACAGAAAAAAACCCCACCAAAACCCAAACAAGATCTTAATAGCAATCCATAAAAATAAAGTTCTTACCAGTATTACTCCTATGGTGTTAAGCTCTATAAGCTCCTGATTCACACTGCTTGTATTCGTCTGTAAAAGGCTAGATATTAATCTAATCACATTTAAACGCGTGTTTCCCACAGGTGGATCCAATACACCCCAGGTTGTCTTCATGACACTTTTCTGAAAAATGTACATACATAAATCCCATTAAAGTATCTTTAAAAAAAACAGCTCATCATTACTATGCACAATGAGAGTAGTGCTTAAAAATATACACAATCAGTCCCTGAGCAACAGTCTTACCTACACCCTGCAAAAAAGCAATTTTTAGTTCTGAAGACTATAGCTTATTTTAATTCCATAGACAGGAAGCACTAAAACCAGCCACATGAGACAAATGACATCGTAAAAATTGATTGTTAACTACAGACAGGATCTCAAAGTAGATGCATTCTACCCAACCTTGAAAGGAATTGGGAGATACTTCCTAGGAAATGCTTCTCACTAGTTAATCCATGTACAGTTATAGCCTGCGTTGCTACAATATACACACAACAGCTAGGTGGACAGTCTCTAAACATACTACAATGCCTCAACAACCCTAACTTCATATACTTAAAAACAATTTAATTAAGCAGTAAGCTTCTCTGGTGTCTTATTCTAATGTCATACATGAAACAAGCTCCATCTGTAGTCTTTGAATGAGTTACTTCCAACACAGCAAGAATCTCTTTCCATGCACTAATGGGTCCTTGTATTACAATTATAAGCTTCATGGTTCTTACATTGACATTTTAGCTGGTTAACAAACCAGAACTGTTGTCACATAACTAAGTGCCAATAAGAAAAATCTGGTATTAGCTACCATAAGACCTAAAAATCTAGTAGCAAGTATGCAATGAGCAGGGGAATTAATAATGAAAATGTCTTCCAATCTTAAGGCACAAACACATTTTGACAAGGAGACCACTACTGCCTTCTGTAACACTGGATATCATTTTTGCCTGACCAGCACCATCCTTGCATCAGAAAAGATGACTGATATCCTGCTAGTTCCTTTAGTCCATTCCTTACATAAAGCAAAAATCTAAGGATGCTCATTTAACTAGTGCTCAAAATGAGCAACCGATTCAATAACTTCACCAGATGACTTATTCAAATGCTAAGTATGTCCATCAGAAAATACTCAAGTATCTTATGTGATTGTACTTTTACTGTAACATAGACCTGTATCTTGCCATGCTGTTGTAATGAAGATAAGACTGTTACTTTGCATTTTACTACCTCTTCTGCATTTGGAAATCTTGAGGTCTCGCCTTCTCCAGGCTAAAATAAGCTTTAACACTACCTTGACACCCCCAACCCCAATGTGGTATTTCAATACACCTCTGGTCTTTATTTTCACTTTGGCCCACAGGGCCTTCTCTCTTACGGACTGTGGCACCCAGTTCAGGGTGCAGTGCTCTAGCTGAAATTCTGCCAGTGACAATTTGAGTGGAAAAACATAAATGGATCATAGGTAAACATCCTATTTATACATCTTGTATTTATCTTTTGCAACACCACGACATAGATAAGTTGCTTAAATCAGTCAAAAAGCCCAAAGAATTTAACATTTCTAGAGTGCAGGCTGCATGCCACGGAGCTGGTCTACGTAGGTCCTGGGCAAGTCTAGAGGAATTGTGCAGGCCTCATGTGGGCCATGCCAAAGTTCCAAACAACTGAAGCATCAATAGTCTGTGTTTCCTATCCAGATAGGCTTTCCAAGCAGAAAACAGGACCCACCTGGAGAATATACAGCAAATCTCTTCATTGCTTTCAGAAACAAGTAATTGCTTCAAGGCTATTCTACCAATTAAATAAAGTTTAAGCTGGAAAAGCTTATCAATTAGCACAACACATTGGCTCAGGAACAACAATAATGAACAGCAAAGCTCACAACAGGCTGGGAAGAAGCCTGGGCACTTGCCCAAAACTTGTCAAACTGGGTTTTGTTTGTTATTATAACCTGCCTAAAATACAGTCACACAGTGACAGTCTTGTTTCAACTAATTTGGTAACACAAGGTTTCACTTACTTTTGGAGGCTCAAGTAGGAGTTCATGGAAGGATGAAAGTCGTGCTTTTATGGCTTCTAAAACACTTTTGTTGACTGAATATGTTGAATTGCTCATGCCTGGAGGACAGATCTCTATATGGCCTTCAAATCTAAAACATACATAAGCAAAATCTGATGATTAGTATCAAAAGTAGTCATAAAACACCTTTAAGGTATGATTTTGAGAGTGTCATGGTTCTGAAGGCATGTGAAGGGGGAAGTAAAAACATAAGGTTACAAAGTTGAACACGATTTTTGCAAACACTAGCCGTAGTATTTTTGTTTATTGTGCTTGAAATCTCTAACATGGTTTTGAGATTAAACGTTACAGCTCTTCTATTTCCTCTTTTGAGGCAGATAAAGAGCTTCACTCATCTATCCTGAACAACACAAACAAGCTGAATGTACCAGAGATCTGTTCAGTGGTTTCTCAAAGTGAAGTTGTAACAAAATTCCAAGTAACTTTTTAAAAAGTCAATACCTACTCGCTGCACTGTACGTATTTACTCTATTCCTTGTATCCAGAAACAAATTGATGAAGTGTAATTAGTCTGATCTGTCAAGTGGCACTTAAACTAGCTTCTAGAAAAAACTGCAGAAAGACCAGTCATTTTGTGAAAGTGTGGTAATGCCAACCCCAATCACTTGGTTTGTTCTTTTACTTCTTCAGCTACGACAGGCCACAAAAATGGTTCAGTTGCAAGTACATGGAAGACACTTGCTGTTGCTGAACAGTAGTTCAGTTAAATTATGCAGGCATAATTTAAGCGAAATAAGAACACTTACGTCTGTCGTCTTGTCTCAAGTAAGGTCAATAGTATTTGGATTGCACTGACTATTGCAGATTCATTTTTTTCTTTATGAAAAATATTAGATAGCAGCTGCTCTATGATTTCTTGCCTGAAAAGAAAAGCATTGGCATCAGATATAACATTACTTCAGGATACAGCTGTTAACAGAAGTAGCTACCAGCTGCCCATGTAAAATTAATAAGAGGATAATACAAAGAAAACTAGTAGCTATTTCGAGCTAGCAGGTACCACTAGGACAATCACTCCCATCCTCACTGCCCCAATCATATTTTCCTATTCCTTCCATTGATCTAGTTTTTTGATCTGACAACCAACACCACAAAAAGGGAGTTTTCAGTTAGATCAAAAGCCTGATTCAGCTTGCCATAACAGCCACACAAACCTAAACCTATAACCAGCAAAAGGAAGAAGGGAATACAGGAGAATCTTCTCTAGCAGAAACACACACTTAGATTGACCTAAAACAAGTAACAGATGAAAGCCAAAGTCTCTCATGTGTACTCTGCACAGTATCAAGCTGACTTCCACATGTCTGATCCCACTAACTTTGGCAGCACAGGAAGTATTTTAATGAGTCAACACCCCTCTCCCCCTGCCAAGGAAGTCTTCCAGGTGGGCTCTGCTTACTGGCTGAGTTATTTTAAATTACACAGACATATGACGGGTAGCCAAGAAAATTCACCTGAAAAGTCGAGCTTGCCATTTCTAAAGGTTTTCAAAGTCAAAAAATTAAAAACTACGTTTTTTTATGAACTGAAAACAAGATCAAAAATTCAACAAACCAACTTACTTCTCTAGACTTGCAAGCAGTGGATCTGGTTCTGAACTGTTCTGTACTTGTAACATCTGGTCTCTGCTTAGACGAATAATTTCACAGAGTGACTGTGATGCATTTGAATGCCTCTGTAACAGAAAAACATAGCTTTTCAATCTAATAGTAGTAGAATGCTGGACTGTAATTCTTCAATTAAAAAAGGTGACAGTTTCAACTTGGACAAGAGTCTCTCCTACCCAAAAAGCATTCAAGCAATAGCTTTATGCCATAACTAAATCTCAAAAAGACAAAAAAAACCCCTTGAGGCATGAGGCAAAAATTTATTTGCAGTATTATGGTGGCAAAACATTAGAGCTGAATGTTCGAACAACATTGAGTATGCACAAGGCTTTGATCTAGATCTGATAAGGGGGGTGAGAGAGAGAAACGTGGGGGGGGGAGGGAACAGCAGGGTGGGGAGAGAGAAACTGGGAAACCACACACCCTCCCTCAAATGACCACAGTTATATACTGAAATCAGCTTATTGAAAAAAGCAGAAAACAGTAAAACTAAAAGTTCAACCACTATGTCATACAGCAACTTGCTGAAAAGATAGACCCAGAAGAATGTCAGATCAATACTTACATCTTCATCTTGAGACGGATGTACAATTTCCACAAGCCGCTGGATAATTCTCTCCTCATTTAGCCACTGTAAAAGTGTTCGCGGGTGTTAGTAAGAATGTTATCCAAGTGAATGAATTAAATGAATTGAAATTTATGAAATTAAAAGAAGTTGTTTGCCAATTGCTGTGAGTCATACTGTTGATATTCCTGAACAGGCACTAACAACACTTCCGGAAAAAGGGAAAAAGTAAAATTAGTGTTTCCGAGCAACTGTAAAAAAAAGAAAGCCTTAGGTATAATTTTTAAATAAACTTTCTGATGCCAAAAAAAGTGTTCAGTAAGGTCCAAAACATTTTTAAAAACCTGCATCTGGCAGTTGTAAGTTAGGTATTAAAGACCAGGGGAAGAGTCCAGCCACTCAGGTTCTAAGTTGCCTGCACTGGAAAAGTATTGGCAGCTCCAAGCAAAAAAACCCCACACAAGTAATTTCAGCACATTTAAGAAATAAACTTAGTAAAACCAGCAGAAGATAAGCCATCTTACAGTTCACACATCAGACAGAAATCCTTTGAGACATTTTACTTACATTTAACACTTCTTGCCGGGGCTGTGCAGGTTCTATGCAAGTCAGTAGCCTGAGCAACAAGTCCATGATAGCAGAGGTCCCTATGTGCTTAATAATGAGGTCTACAAAATCACGTTTCCTCTTTAAAAAATCTACAATCTAGAAATTAGAAAAAAAACAAGCTTACATTTGCTTATCTGTATTTTACATGGTAAATTACACCAACCAGTTTTAGTTTCTCTCTCCTACCAAAAGAAGAAAATAAATGGAATTTAAACATTTTTGCCACTTAAAGCTTGCAGTACAAGGTAAGATAAAATAATACACATGTATAGAGTAGCAAAAGTGGCACAGGACAGATCCATACTATGTGCAATGTGTCCCGGGTCTCCTCTCAAGCCCAACTTGATGACAATAAACTACTTATAATCCAATGCACAGTCAGCTTTCCTTTTTGGTATGAATTACTCTCATCCCTGGCTAGTGAGCAAAGCTCAACACAGCAAAACCTTAACATAATACAAACAAATATAGAGCTTGCTAGAAAGATACTTAACAGTCACAAACAATTTGCTCAGGTACGAGAGCCAGTCATTGCAGCTGTTTGCAGTATTGGGCCACATGAACAAAGAGTACAACAACATTTCTGAACAAGGACTCCAAATGTCTCTCACCTTGTTCTATAACAATTCTTCACAGCAAACTGGACCCATTCCCACTGACTCAATTCATTTACCTTCACCTCTAACAGCAATTGATGGAAATATCACCATATAAAAATACTGAGCTAAGCTAAGCCAAAAGGTAAGCACTCACACACTGATTGCACAAATAACTCAGGCAAATCTGAATCAAATACATCTTACTCATCCAGATATATTTTTTAATCCTGTGCATGCCATAAAGAAGTTAGTGCCTTCAGCTAATATGGAAGCTGAATGCTGTTTTTTGACTCCGCTGCTATCCCTCAAATGCGTAGTCTTAAAGCAGCACTGCTGAGTACCACAACTTTATTAGAGCACTTGTTAAATTGGAGAGATTGTAAATATTTACCTGTTCTGGTTTTCTGCTTATAAGAATACTTAGCACCTTGCTGAAGAAACTGGCCAATAAAGGGTTTAGAGGAGATTCATTTAAGAGGAAGCTGTACAGTTTCATAAGTAAGGATTCTTCTTCTCCCAGCCTATCATTGATCTGTGAGACATCTGATGTAAGCAGCTCACATGATATGTTTGGGTATCTGGGGAAAAGGAAAAAAAAAAAATTATCACTCATACTTCAAAGTTGTCATCCTTCCAGCTCTGAATTCAGAACCTGGTAAGGCTTCTGACCAAGTTTTCAAGCAGGGTCAGTCTGCCCTATTTAAAGCGGCAAACTACTGCAAGGAAACATAACTGCACATTCAAGCCTACAAGCTCTGTTCTCTCATTTAAAAAATGGACTACTCTGTTCTTCAGTAGCAACAGGACACCACTGGAAGTGAGGAAAGGAAAGGGCAAGCTTTTAAGATCTGTTGTTAAATCCATCTGTTCAAGTACTGATCTCTCATTTCAGAAGCCACTTCTTTTTCTGAAGGGAAAAAAGTTAGTTACCAAGAAGTTAAGCAGACTGATAGTACTAGACTGATACTGGGGAGGGAGCAGTGTGTTCGCCCCTTTCTAATCTAACAGGGATTATATTAAAAAGGCCAAAAGGAATAGCTTCAGGATTTTTTTTATATCTATATCCACCTCTCCACAGATACATAAATTATGTAGAAACTCAGTAAACTAGTCAAAGTCTGACAAAGCCTGCAAAACTAGCTAGTACTGTTTCATGACACAGAGTCAGAAGTACAGTTCAGAACACTGAGTAATTAAACTAAGAGGCCATCCAGACCAGTAATTTCCTGCATTTCACAGCACTATTGCCCACTCATGATAAAGGTAATTTTGACAGCATCAGCAGCTTAAGGTTACTAAGTGTAAGATGCTTCAATTTCAAACTCTACTAGAAACACTTACAGGAGGCTTGCTTTACCAGAAATGGTGAAGTGCTGCAACTAAGAGTGTAGCTTATTTCACATTATCTTTTTACATACTGTTTTAAGAAAAAAGCAGCTTTCTGCCTAGACAACTCTAAAGTAGGCCAAAAATGGTGGAAGTGCTTTTATACAGATTGCTAGGTTGACTTTTGAGTTTGAACCTTCTCAGCAAACTAGCTGAAGTCATGGCCGTACCCAGTTCTTACAGTTCTAGCTCTGCAAAGAAAAACACCAGCAATTAGACGCTAAGTACATTCTTCCAAGGAGCACTACAGACCTTCTAATAAGCATCTTCAAAACATCTTACCAATCATTGATAAAACAAAGCTAAGCAGTTAACTATACTACCCAAATAAAGTATTCCATTCAACTATTTTCTTAACAATCACAACTACAAGATTCTTTATGTGAGTTCTATTTTTTTTTTTTTTTTCTTTTATGTAAGCCTCCTTTGGACAGCAATTTGCTTTGGAAACATTTGTGGACAAGAGGCTTCCATTTGAAAAATATGCAAATATTAGAATGATTTATTTACAAGTTCTACAAAGCCCTTGAAAATAAACTTACTCTAAAGATACCAGTATTGTACTACACATCAGCACGCAGGGATTCAAAACACACAAAATTAGCTGGAGTAAGTTACCCCTCTTTCCACCTTCCCAAGTCTCCCCACCCCCAAAAGTTTTCCTACTTGTATCGAATTTTTTCATCCATGTCTTGAGGTGGTTCTTCGATAATAAATGAAACCAAGTCTTCCAAACATTCTGACTTCAGCAGAAACTCTATAAGCTTGCGATTCTGAGCCTTGCACTCTTGCAGAACATCTTCTTCATCCATCAATTCCTTCAGTGTTACATCTTCTCTCTCTAGAAGTGTATCTATGTGGGATGATGAATGGAGATCAAATTTCCAAAACATGCTGGTCTGGATAAGGAGAATATACACAAAGCATTAAGTTTACAAATCTATTTAAGCTGTATTTGTAGTAACACTTCATAGTACTATTTCATAGCTTCTAACCCCAAAGGCACCTGCATGCATTGAAACTTTCTAAAACTCAAATGAGACACAACAGTAGGTGCTGACAATTGAAAGCTACAAAACCAGGCCTGATTAAAGATGACTGAATACTCGGTAGTAATTTTTGTACCTTTAGCAATAGCCAATATTCTAACATCCAAAGGTAAAGTTAGGCAGCTCCAGGGTTTTACTTGCATGAAAGGAACATGCTAATCTGCATTAAAAGAAAAAAGCGTAACTTTGTTTTTCAATTTATTGAATTTGCTCTTCCCAACCTTTGTTTTTAATCTATGCACCAAGTCAACAACTTGCTCAGCAATTAATAGAGCTGAGAGAAGACAAAATGGGCATTGCATAAATGCACTACAGTACCACCCCTACCATTGAAGAAAACACCTCTAAAGGTGGAGGAATTATACTAATTTTAACTTGCAGGCAGCATACATTGAAGTGTTCAACACAGGACCTACTCTCTCACTGTACCTCCCTCCACAAACTTGACATGGGCAGAAGAACAACGGATAATAAAATATCTAATGCAAACACATGAAAGGGCAGTGGCCCCAACCACTGAAACATTGTAAAAGGCCGTAACAGAAATGTATAAGGATGAGCAACTTAACCTGTCCTTATAATATGCTTTGGCACCTCCATGTTAATTCTGTTGCTCTGTCCTGGTTTTGGCTAGGATAGAGTTAATTTTCTTCCTAGTAGCAGGCATAGTGCTGTGTTTTAGATTTAGTAGGAGAAGAATGTTGATAACACACTGATGTTTCAGTTGTTGCTAAGTACTGCTTATGCTAGTCAAGGACTTTTCAGCTTCCCATGCACTGCCAGGGGCACAAGAAACTGGGAGGGGGCACAGCCAGAATAGTTGATCCAAACTGGCCAAAGGAGTATTCCATACCATGACATCACGCTCAGTATATAAACTGGGGAGGGTTGGCTGGGGAGCAGTGATCACTGCCCAGGAACTGTCTGGGTATCAGTCGGCGGGTGGTGAGCAATTGCACTGCGCATCACTTGCTTTGTATATTATTATTATTATTATCATCATTACTATTTTACTTTATCTCAATTATTAAACTGTTCTTATCTCAACCCAGGAGTTTTTCTCACTCTTATTCCTCCGATTCTCTCCCTCATCAGGGTAGGGGGAGTGAGCGAGCGGCTGTGTAGTGCTTAGCTGCTGGCTGGGACTAAACCATGACATGCTCTAACACACCTTGCAAGCAGGTGCTACTGAAAGAACTGTGCTATCAGAAAAGAATATTTCAGTCTATGATAGATTCAGTAAACTCCTGCTTTCACCTCTCAATAAGCTCAATACAAGTACTTGCTCCATTACCCCCTCTCCAAAACAGGGCTTTTACATGACATTTAACCTCTGACACAGTATCAGCTGGTCTTATGTGAATGCAGAATTTAAGTGGATTGAAAGAGATACTACAGATACCAGAGAACAGTAAGAGAAAGTTTTCTTTCCTTACAGTTGGAAGCAGCATGGTTTTCAGCAGTACTCATTTAAATAAGGAAAGAAACACTCTTTTTTGCTCCTTTAGTTACTGCCTTCCAAGTGTGAAGGATTAATTTAATACATTAATTACTGCTGTGCATTAGCAACATCATCAGCTGTGAGGACATGTAGTTACCACAGAGAATGTAGGTGAATCGTACTATTTTAGCAAGAACACTGTAAGCTGCAGGTTGTATGCAGGAAGAAGCTTAAAGACAATAATCAAATTATGTTTTTGTCATACACTCTTATAAAAAACTACAAAACCTAAAATCGAACTATCTAATTCTTACACAAACTAAGAGGTAGACAGCTTTAAGCATTTATTTCCAAGTTAAAATGGATTCAGCATGCACTCTACAGCTACTTAGAACAGTGAAGTGTCAAATTTAGTACTTCTATCTGTCTTCTAAACTGCTCAAGTCCAAGGATCCAACAAAACCCTTATGACTCTCTTCATTAGCAAGATTTCCAGTATTTGGCCTAAATATTGAAAAGCCTGGTATATTCACTATGGAGAAGTTTTAATTGCTTTTAGGGTTTTCATTGTTGCTTTAACCATTACACACTGATCACTTAATACCATGTTACTTTGCTTAGCCTTCTGTGAGAAGTTGTAAGCATGCATAACTTCCCCTAAATTATAGAGCTTTCTGTTTAAAGATACGGGAGTCAAACAAAATCAATCAGGAAAAGGTACAGATAATTTCAATTACAGTATTGATACTTATAATCATCTGAGATCCCATGCAAGGATTAAGTGGTTAAAAAACAGAAAAAAGGTCTTTTCTACTAAAAGTATTAGTAAACTTACAAGAAGGGTTCAAAACACCTGATCTCACAAATCAGCTTAAATTATACAAAGTTGTTATTAAAAACACTAGCTTGTGGGTATTCAGGCTACCCAGACTTACTGTAAGCAAGTGAAACTAGTGCATTGTTAAAGACACAGGATATTTTGTTTGGGGTTTTTTTTGTTAAGCCTCTAGAAAGTAGATCAAATCCCTCCCCTTGCCTCATTTAGTGAAAGCAGCATCTTTGCAAGTAACCGCTATCAATGCTAATTCCAGATGTAAATTCTTCTGCAGTGATTAAAGCTCATTTCAGTAGCTTCAATGTATTTCTCAGTTACTTATTTCAAGAGAAATTCAACAATGGAAAACAGCAACAAGAAAAAAAAGAGGCATACTACTGCAAACATGTTACTGCGTTATTTCACAAACTGTCTCCCAGGCAAGCTCTTTTAGGGGGTGCTCCCTCAACATGTCACGTGCCGGCCAGAGATTATTCCATCACTTTTCAACAGGAGCCCAGGTCCTTTGAAATAAGGAAAAATAAACAACATAAAATGTGCCAAAGAAGAAATCCAGGAACCCTGAAGAGAAGAGAATTTTCTTAGGTGTTATCACTGGTGATAATCTAGAATCAGCCTACCACAGTTCCGAATGGAAATTCTAAAACCAAAAAGTTATTGTTATTCTTTCCACAGCCTACTGTTCTATCATCCCTCCCAAAACCTATAAATTCTGAAGTTTTTAATTATCTTCATGCTTTTTCAAATTTCAGTCCCATTAACAGAGTCAGAATTAGGCCTTATGTCCACAAGTCAGGAGTGCTCCACCCAAAATTTCACTATCTGCAAATTTACAATAAACTCCATAAGTCAATTGGGTTGTGTTACTCCCAATGTTCAACTCTATTTCCAATACGAGCAGAAAAATTGCAACATTTGGATTCAATGCAAGATGCGAAAGACTGCCAAATACAAGACATGCTCAAGATTAGATACTACAAGAAGCAAAATAAACCAGGATAATACTAAAAACTCTGAGATGTGGAAAGAAAAATTTTGTTAAAGATGGTAAAGCTGCTGCAGATATTTGACTGTATTTTGTAATTTGAGTTAGCTTTCCATAACCTCCGAAAGTTCCCAGCAAGCAAGACTAACAGACTTCCAATTCATGTAAACAGTACTTCCGAAAGTTTACATCAACTTGCTGACATACAAGTTATAACAAATCAAGATCCTAAGGAACAACTAGCATTCATAAAAATATTGCTTTGTTTTCTTAATTAATATTGTCAACAGATTCTTCTCTGAATGAATGCTGAAGTAACATGCCATGTGGTAAATACCTGACTTAAATCTGAAAGGATAGAAAGCAGTTCAAAGTGAGGAAAGCCTGTCAACTACTCTGAGATACACGTAACTGAAATTCTCACTTGAATTGTTTGCTAAAGGGAAGAAATAAAGCTTAGAAACAATCCTTTCAGGTCAGAAAAAACAATTGGAAGTCTTCTGACTGCTACAGCTGAAGACAACCACACTGCAGGTATTTTGTTTAACAGTAACTAGCACGTTGTCCTTTCTAGAGGCCAAATGCTTAACTGGGATCTCCATCAAAAAAAGTTGGTAACAATTGTATCAGTAAGTTTCTCTGTAGTTTGGAGTCGACATAGCTGTCAAACACCTTTCCCGAATACAGACATTCCTGTTTTCAAGCTACAGGATGAAGACATAAATTCCAGTCAGACAAGCATACACTTGAATTTTGGACATCTTCTATATTGAATCCTTTTACAAAACAGACTTGTTACTTTAAAGCATCCAGAAGTCCCTTCAGTAAATAAGAAAGCTATTAAAGTAAGCTGCTCATTTAAGTTAAAACTTTTAAGCATCATACTTAGGTAAAACAAACATGAGAAACATACTTTGCAAGGAGTTATTTCCACCTTGGCACCTCATAATTCTACCTAACAGTTGAGTATTAATAGCTACAAGCAGATATGGGGATCTAGACCAGTGCAGAAAGGACCTCAGTTAGCCTGCTGAAGGCTGTTTTACATGACAACTGGATGTTAAAAGCATATACACAGACCTTGTGGTCAGAACTTTGCAGATTTTACAGCAAAACCCAGTTTCATTTTCAAGCAAGAGAAACTCTTTTAAAAAAAAAAAAAGTGTATCAGTGGAAGCTGAAGATTCTATAATATATGGAAGTCCAAGAAATGCTACACAGTTATAACAAGGATTGCATTATAAAAAACCTAAACTCAGAATGTAAGTCAATTTTCTTGGTGTACCATCATATTTTCTTACTATAGGACTCAAGTGCACAGATAAAAAAAAATCAGTTACTTTTGCACCAAACTTTTCCATGATTGAAATGCATCCTAAATTATGTAGCCTACATCAGCAAAACAGGTTTTTACAACTCCTGTGTAGGAACTAGCAAAAGACAACTTAGTTGTTGGATGCAAGCACCAAAGGAGTCCTTGGTGCCACCACAGGCTTTCAAGAAGGTCCTACATTTCTTAGTGATAAAAACATTTCCAATGCAAACAATCCATTACCTTCTAAGAACCACATAGGTAGGTAGGTTTGGGGAAGGACAAAGTAATGATGAAGACAAATTCTTATACTTTTATCATTAGAAGAGAATTTACCAACATTTTTAAGACCTTTAAATGCATTAAGTGATTTCTTTATAATGCTAAGCATGCCCTTCTGCCAGCTTCACATAATCTCAACCAGTTAGTCCCTAGGTATATTTAATTAGTTTCCAGTTTTGTTTTTTCTCCTTTCTCCAAATGATGGACAGTAATTAGACACCATACTAGCATTTATAAAGTGCTTATTTTGACACTGGAAATGGACCATCTGTTCAAAAACAAAGCTAAGCACAAGTTCATGTCTGAAAAAATTTTAGAGCTAAACAGAATTACCAGTCACCCAAACTGACCAAGACGACACTCCAGTGGCTGCTTTTTAAACTGCCTATTTCAGGCAGCCAGAGCATCACCCATTATAAACCTGCTGTCTACAACTGCCTGTCCTTTGCAGGCTGGGGCATAACTCCTCAAAGCATTAAATAAAACCAAGACCTATTAAATGGGAAAATTAAGCACTTACGCATTTAGTTGGGAATCAAGGGCAATTTGAACAAAATACAAAAAAAATAAGACACCTGCATTCTAGCTTGAAGATCTGGACCAAAACAGTTCTCTTCTGTAAAGTAATGGTAATTTATAGCAATACACAGTTATGCTGTAACTGAATTCCCCACTTTTTCCACTTGATGAATACAAGAAAGAATCTGTCATACAGCAACACACTTACATTGCTTCTTCCGCACTGACAGTTCAGTGGAAAATATGGCATTCTTTACCTCCTATCCCATTAAAACAGTATGTCTTTTAAGTAGTGTAAGAACTCTGCTCTTAACTATTCCTTAGTTTTATTTCTAAATACTTCAAATAATACATTAGAGTCCATACTTACCCAATAATCTATTTGAAAATAAATTTATTTTCAATTAAAGCAGTGAGATTCATTGTGTTATTAGCCAGAAAGATGTAAGTTACTGTTCCAAGTCCCTAGATTTAACTACATCACATTACAGCCAGCAACCACAAATAAAAGCAGTAATACAGGAGAGTTTTCATGATACAGTTTCTACATTTCTTAAACAAAATGTAAGATCAATTTGACATAGAACAAAAATCTCGTGTGAACACAAAGTAAGATGTAGCAGTCTCTTCAACATCAGAACAGCCTGTTCAGGCCATGAATGTGAGCCTTAGTAGAAATTAATTTTTGATAAATACTCTAATACTTACACTAACAATTACATTTTTATGATTATAACCTAGTGAAGTTTCAAAAAAACTTTGTGGAGAAGGGAGCCAATAGATGGATTGAAATTAAAAGCAATGAAATAAAACACAAAATACAAATGTCTTCACCTCAACAATTCAATACATATTGCACCCATATTTCAGACACTGTGCACAGTCCTACTCCTACCATTTCCAAAAGGACATAGCAAACTAGAAAAGATACTGAAAGGGAAACAAAACTAATCGACAAATCTTTTGTGGAGTGCTGGGAGGCCTTGTGCAGGCCAGCTGTGCCTCCCTTTCTGACCTGCAGTATCTCTGGATTCTTCATCCCCTCTCAGCCACTGTTGGGCACAGGGGGCTGTGCTACTTGCAGGAAGCTGGGTCGGTGGGAGGTCACTGAGGATCACTGACCCTCCTGCAACACACTGTGCCACTATCTCATCCAGGGGACCCCAGGCACTGGATGAGGAAGGGGCTGGAGCCCAGGCACATGAAGGGAGGTGGAGGCCAGTCCCTGTGCCCAAGGGGCAGCAGAATGGCACAGGGGAGCAAACCCTGGGAAAGGGGCCCCCAGTCCCCCCGATCCTCCTCCTTCTCCTACATAGGGCATTTTTCAGGCCACAGCCCCCCTCAACTCCCAGAACAGCCATATTTGGCCACATGCATTGCCATCACAGTGGCCTCCTGATATCACAAGCCTTTTCTTCCGGGCCCTATAAATACAGGCACCCTGGCAGCTGGCCCACAATTCACTGAGCTTCAAGGCCCTCAGATTTCAAGGATGATTAGAACAAAGTGGTCTCAGAACAGCAAGGTGAGTAGCTGCCCACTTTTGCATGGGAAGGCAGACAGGTGTTTGACAGGAGTCACAGAGGAAGAGGAAGCGGCGGTGGCACGGTGCGGGGCACCATCAGCCACATGGTAGCAATGGCTGCTGCTCATGTGGCTGATTGTGTGGAGCCCATGGAGGTGATGCACCCAAAGATGAAGAACCACCAATGGAAGTGGATCCATCTCCAGCATGGCTCCCCTGGCACCACTACACTGTGCCAGGGCTCCCCCTCCATGACACCAACAACACAGCATTGCAGGAGCACCCAGCCAGCACCCTACCATCAGCCCAGCCCAGCATTAGCTGAGAGCCCAGCCTCTGCATCTGGCTGTCCTGCACACTCACCCATTCCATTTCTGAGCATTAACAATTATTTTGTTGATTGCCACAGCTGGTGTGAGACCTTCTCTTTCCACCTCCCCCACTGCTCCTGAAGGGGTGCCATCTCCTCTGCCCTGAGCTGCAAGAAGAGGGGATGAGATGACCTGGCCTCCACTGGGCCACTGCACCAGGGCAACAGGAGTCCCTCAGGGGGCCACCAGGTCCCTGGGGCCTGGAGGTGGGGTTTCTTCAGCCTGAGGACGAGAAGACTGCTCGATGGGTGGCTGAAGATGAATCCAGACATTCCATGGCAGTGCACAAAGAATACCAACAGGTCAAGCAAAGAAGTTAGAGACAGTTGTTCCTTTAGAGAAGCCAGAGACTGCAGTTCTGCCAGGAAGAAGTGCTGGCTTGCAGCATTTAAGGTCCCTTTTAGCTGCTTCATTAGGAGTTCTTTTCAAGGTTGAGCAATAAACAATTATAAAAAACCCAAAACAATAAAACAAGAAAATAACAGAAAAAATGCTTTCTTCCTCTCTTATTTGGTACTTCGGCAACCGCATCTGGACTTCTCTGTCCCCTCCTGGTCTCCCTAGTCCAGGAAAGACATTGATGAGTGTGGTGTGGGCCCAGCCCAGGACCCTTGAGATGGTGAGGGGCCAGGGCACATGGCACACAAAGGCAGGCTGAGGGAACTGCCTCTGGTCATGAGGGTGGTGATAAACTGGAGCAGGTTGCCCAGAGAAGCTGTGGATGCCTCATCCCTGGAAGTGTTCAAGGTCAGGTTGGCTGGGGCTTTCACCAACCTGATCCTGTCAGCCTCACCTCTGTGCCTGGAAAGATCATGGAACAGATTCTCCTAGAAGCTAAGCTAAGGCACATGGATGACAGGGAGGTGATTTTAGACAGCCAGCATGGCTTCACCAAGGGCAAGTCTTGCCTGATGAACCCAGTGGCCTTCTATGAAGGAGTGACTACATCAGTGCACAAGGGAAGAGCCACTGATGTAATCTATCTGGACTTCTGTAAGGCCTTTGACAGTCACCCACAACATCCTTCTCTCTAAATTGGAAAGACACGGATTTGATGGATGGACTGTTCGGTGGATAAGGAATTGGTTGGATGGTTGCATCCAGAGGGTCGTGGTCAACGGCTCAACGTCTGGATGGAGATTGGTGACAAGTGGTGTCCCTCAGGGGTACATATTGGGACCAGTACTGTTTAACATCTTCATCTATGACATAGACAGTGGGACTGAGTGCACCCTCAGCAAGTTTGCACATGACACCAAGCTGAGTGGTGCAGTTGACACGCCAGAAGGACGAGACGTCATCCAAAGGGACCTGGACAGGCTGGAGAGGTGGGCCGGTGTGAACCTCATGAGGTTCAACAAGGCCAAGTGCAAGGTCCTGCACCTGGGACAGGCCAACCCCCAATATCAATACAAGCTGGGGGATGAAGGGATTGAGAGCAGCCCTGTGGAGAAGGACTTGGGGGTACTGGTGGATGAAAAGCTGGACATGAGCCAACAATGTGCGCTTGCAGCCCAGAAAGCCAACCACATCCTGGGCTGCATCAAAAGAAGCGTGGCCAGCAGGTCAAGGGAGGTGATTCTGCCTCTCTACACTACTCTGGTGAGACCTCATCTGGAGTACTGCGTCCAGCTCTGGGGCCCTCAGCACAAGAAGGACATGGACCTGCTGGAGCGGGTCCAGAGGAGGGCCACAACAATGATCCGAGGGCTGAAGCACCTCTCCTATGAGGCCAGGCTGAGAGAGTTGGGGTTGTTCAGCCTGGAGAAGAGAAGGCTGCCGGGAGACCTTATTGCAGCCTTTCAGTACTTACAGAGGGTCTATAGGAAAGATGCAGACAATCTCTTTAGCAAGGCCTGTTGTGACAGGACAACAAATAATGGTTTTAAACTAAAGAAAAATAGATTTAGACTGGATATAAGGAAGATTTTTTTACAATGAGGGTGGTGAAGCACTGGAACAGGTTGCCCAGAGAGGTAGTGGAGGCCCCATCCCTAGAAACATTCAAGGTCAGGCTGGACGGGGCTCTGAGCAACCTGATCTAGTTAAAGCTGTCCCTGCTCACTGCAGGGGGGTTGGGCTAGATGGTGTCTAAAGGTCCCTTCCAACCCAAAGCATTCTATGATTCTATGATTCAGGAATTGTGGGGGATCATTCCTTGTACATAAGCTAGAGACAGTTCAGTGTTTTGAACTATTTGCAAGTAACATTTCACCTACATACCAAAAACCAAAACACTGCACCTTCTTTCAAATACCATCAAGAATTCCTGGGTAACCAAACAATGTTTTGGAATACAAGAGAAACACTTCAGCATGTTCATTGACTATTGTACAATTTCAGCTTGTATGACAGATACAATTCCTTCCAGCCATTATACTCATTTACAGCACCTATGCTCCTCAGCTAACTACTGTACTTTCAGAGGGTAACTACATACTTGAGTGAAATGCAAGCAAAAGACACTATGTGGTAGTCCTTTCTTGACTGGGAGAGAAACACATCAGAAAACTGTATGAAGACACAGTAATTTTCATAAAAAACTCTTAAACAGCTACCACCTCCCCCTCCTCCTAATGAGGAGGCAAATTATCTAATAAGTAGGGACTTTCACTCCCATATCAGACAAGGGAAGAGTGAGCCTGCTATGGTTGCACAACAATTAAGAATTGAGATAGAAGTGAAATCACTTTCACCCTTATTTATCACACTAGCCACCCTTATTTATGCACACTAGCTGCACTTCTATCTAGATCAGAACTATAGGTACTTTTTACATAATATATAGATAATATATATCTATGATGTGCATATACACCCCGCCATTATGACTGAATGCCCCAATAATCAATCTTTTTTGACATGCTGAAGTACATAAACAAGTCCAAACTAGTTAATGTTTACTCATACACCAATCCCTCAAAATTCAAGAGGTCATAACCGTCTAGCAAAAGTACAAAAATCAGCTGAAATGTACAGTTTGCAATGAAGTTACAAGAGCAATTTTATACCAACCAACAAGTGTATCCTTGTCAGTTCCTACACTCTGTCTCAAACCATGGGTTAATAAGTGTTAATAAATACAGATCTTAATTGCCTGCAATAACTACAAATTAGACACTGATCTCCCCTCCCCAAGTAGAAAAGATGAATCATTTTCTCATAACTCCACTTCAATAGCCAAACATTTACACATTTAAAATATTCACTGGTCACAGAATTCAGATAGATTTTTTGTATTTTGAATTCTGCCAATTATCTTCAAAATGGAAATGAAGGTATCTATGTATTGAGAAAAGCAGGTAGTTCTGTAATATTACCAAAAGCTAAACAATGCATAGCTACCCAGAAGACAATTTTACACTGAAGCATGCCGTTTAGTACCAAAAACTAAATTGCAGAAGACAGTATTACCATACTTCAATATAATAACCTATAGTACTAAACATCATTCATACCTAATATATGTCAGTTCATGAACACATTTGCTTTGCAATTCTTCCAAGGAATTGGGGGCTGGGCAGCAGACACACCCCTCCTGGCACAAAAACAAAACACTTTAAAACATGTTTCCTGTAAAACAAATAGAACAACCACAACAGTGTGTCTAGATGACCCTTGATTCTCACTGTAAGACCAAAGCGGGGCAGAGAAAGATGACAGTGCAACAGCAGGGTGAGTTAAAAGACAAAGTTAGAAACAGCCAGCTAGAGAGTAGTCAGAAAAAAGCTGCAAGGAAAGGGAAGGAATGGCCACCAAGTCTGAACTGCAGAAGGAAGAGCAGCTTAGAAGGTGGTAAATGTGAACCTGCAGAAATCGAGTAAATCGCCTTTAGTGGACATCAGGAACATGAAAAAGCATTCAGGAACCACTTAAATTTTAAGTCTTTATAGATGCAGAAGCTAAAGCTACTGCTGTAGGTGAAGTTTAATAGTTTCTTACCTGTTAAACACAAAAGTTTTTTAAAAGTTAGAAAACCAGAACTATTTGTATTCTCTCAGGCTCCTTGCCCATTACAGGGTATCCTGGCAACAGCAAAAGAATCTTTCAATCTACAGTATTAGCAGATTAGCAGGACTGAATTAGGATTGAATTAGATGAAGCAGATTTCCTCCTACAATGACAAAAACAACATTTTAATAATTTAATACTGTTAACAAGTTCTATTCAATAGCTCAACAACTGCATGAATACTAAGCATTGCTTTGCAGGGAGTAAGACACATGAACTGAAGAAGGAAACAACTTGCTAGGAAGAAAAGTGTCAGTTCAGTGCAGCATATCCTGAGAATAAATTCAAAAGCAGCTTGTCACCTGAAAGACTTACTTATTTTTAAACCAGCTTTATTTTTAAACCCCCTTTACTTTTGGAAGACAAAAGAAGAAACTTCATTGCCTCACTGAAATAAAACTGCCTTTATAATCTGCACTTGACCGTGGAATCTAACATGAATCCAGACTTTCTTTCTTTTTTTATAAAGTATTAGCAGTTTCATATGAAGTAACATCTTCAGATCTAGAAGATCTGAAATACCCGTTACTAGAGTTTTTTGCAGCAGTCTTTTCTATCCTCATACCTATTCTCTTGTTATATTAACATATGATTTATCCACAAACCTGCACAGAAATAAATGTACAAGCATTAAGAATGCCAGTTATTTTGGCATAAGTCTGTATAAACAATTCAGCCAGTTTTAATTTGAAATCAGTTTAACTTAGAAAAAAACCAATACAGTCCACATACAGACTTACAAAGTAACCAGCTGTTTTAAGACAGCATTTGGTCACCTAAATTTCATCATGAAGACAACCTCTGCTTTTGATAGTGTAATTCTTTTAATGTAAAGCAAAGTAATATTGAAGAGCTTAATTAGATATCCATAACTGGCTTCAGAGTGACACTTACCTGCCTGTGCTTTGCTCAACAGCAAATAGGCAAGAAAAAGCATCCTATGGATTCATGCGTCCTTCTGATGTAGCTGCTTCTGTCAGTTGTAAGATGAACTTCTAATACAAAAATTCACCTTCTCTTTCCACCTGTTACAGAGGGCTTTTTGATTTTGCTTTTTAACACAGGCTTCAAGCAAGACAAGACTTTTGGTTCTTTTGGGAACATGGCAATATTTTTCATGAAAAAAAGAGCAGAAGTACCAGCAACTAAGAAGGGTAGCAAATACAGTAGCATGTTCATTAATTCATGTCAGTGACTACCTATTATTTGACTGAAAAGCTCTGCTATCAGAGTTTGTCACAAATAAATCTTCAGATAAAAAAAACCCCAAACAAACCATGCACCTCCAAAGCATTTCAAGTATTCTGCCAAAGAGATGATTTAACTTTACACCTTCTATGTTAAAGATAAGAAACCGTGTCTTCAAAGCTGTTTCTTGATCTTTGCAGATGTTTTAATAGATAGCCTCTGTCAACCTAAAGATGTACACTACAAATAAATTCCTCTTGAACTAGAAGAAACTCTTGCATTCTAGTTAAACCACCACCCAATAAAAGTGTTTTTTCTTAGCTTTGTTAGGGCTAGTGAGTTTTGTGGCTTAAAATACCATGTTTGTCATCTGCAACAGTTCTGGAACCAAAAGCCACAACATTTGCATTTTATGCACAACAGCACAAAGATTCCAAGCCTTAACATACACAAACACAACTTTCTCTAAGGCTATTTTAGTAATCACTGTACACATGAACTGAAGGTCAATGTATTATATTGACCATAATACTTTCAAAGGTCATGTTTTTCATCCTTAAGGCCTTCAGTTCTACACGTCAAGTGGATTTGCCAATCCCTTGTGAGTCAAGTGACTAACTAGAGCAGAAAAAATAAACAAGTTTACTTGACTTCGCTTGTTTTACTAAAGTTTCTTCATTATAATTTCTGCATTTCAAATGCACACCTATGTTCGGAAGTAGAGGTCCAAGAAGGGAGAGAATGTCCCCTCAATTATGTCATGTGGGAGCAAAATAAGAAGCCTGCTTAGCTTAATGTACTTTCAGAAGAGTTTACAAATTCTTAAGATATTGTCCACAGAGATTTCAATTGCCAGTCAAACTATCCAAATGAAAACCACTATTATTACTCCCCTTACAAGGATGTCTTTCTGGTATTTCTCCATTCCTCTTTCTGTTTGAAAAGAAAACTTCAGTGTCTAAATACCATTCTTTAGCACCAGAATGGTCAGCTTCTGAATTCCATACAGTAGGATTATACAGGAAAATAAAAACACTAGTGTAATCAAAATTAACAAGATACTAGCAGTGCAAGTATTATAGCATACCCTGGGAAGCGTGCTCCACCAGAAGCCTGCTCTGGTCAATCAGGACTTTTTCAGTCCACCTTAAAATCTACAACAGCAGAGAGTTTGGTTTAAGGAATGACTTCCACTCAGTGGTACAGATGGTATATTGGCTCAGACTGTTTCCCTCAGCAGTACAGATTAGATATTGAAAGGGCCTGCAGTATGGATAAAAGAAAAAAAGAAAAACCACAGGAGTTCTTTCCTTAAAATAACAAGAAAAAGAATCAACTGACTGGATGAGGTTCAAATCTATTTAAATCTGGCTTTCCTACATCCAGGGATGGCTCACATCTAGCAATAGTTCATCCACATTAACATGGTACTTCTGACAGGGAGAAGTGGGGCCACAATGGAAGGTATCAAAAATTTTAACCTGAAGATAACACGCTGTCATGGTTTAGCCCCAGCCAGCAATT